CTCTCCATAATTATATAAACCTCTATCTCCTCATAATTATATAAACCTCTATCTCTCAATAATTATATAAACCTCTATCTCCTCATAATTATATAAGCCTCTATCTCTCCATAATTATATAAACCTCTATCTCACTATGATTATACAAGCCTCTATCTCTCCATAATTATATAAACCTCTATCTCCTCATAATTATATAAACCTCTATCTCTCCATAATTATATAAACCTCTATCTCCTCATAATTATATAAGCCTCTATCTCTCCATAATTATATAAACCTCTATCTCCTCATAATTATATAAGCCTCTATCTCTCCATAATTATATAAACCTCTATCTCCTCATAATTATATAAGCCTCTATCTCTCCATAATTATATAAACCTCTATCTCCTCATAATTATATAAGCCTCTATCTCTCCATAATTATATAAACCTCTATCTCACTATGATTATACAAGCCTCTATCTCTCCATAATTATATAAACCTCTATCTCCTCATAATTATATAAACCTCTATCTCTCCATAATTATATAAATCTCTATCTCCTCATAATTATATAAGCCTCTATCTATCCATAATTATATAAACCTCTATCTCCTCATAATTATATAAGCCTCTATCTCTCCATAATTATATAAACCTCTATCTCACTATGATTATACAAGCCTCTATCTCCCCATAATTGTATAACCCTCTATCTCACCATAATTATACAAGCCTCTATCTCCTCATAATTGTATAAGCCTCTATCTCACCATAATTATATAGGCCTCTATCTCCCCATAATTATAAAAGCCTCTATCTCCCCATAATTATATAAGCCTCTATCTCACCATAATTATACAAGCCTCTATCTCCTCATAGTTGTATAAGCCTCTATCTCACCATAATTATATAAGCCTCTATCTCTCCATAATTATATAGGCCTCTATCTCCCCATAATCATATAAGCCCCTATCTCCCCATAATTTTATTCGTTTAGATTAGTTTAGAAGAATAAGTGTTTACAGTCCTTAGCAATCATGCGTGGCGTAGTAAAGGGTTAGTGACGCCTTGGGTGGGCCAAGTTTTTGCTGCCCCTACCACGACCCCCCCCCCCCCCCCCC